AGTCAAGAAGACTTATTAGGCATAGCTCCTACCCTCATCACTCCACTCAGGCTTTATACCCTGTACTAGACTACACTTGCACTGAGGGTATGAAGGAGTGCAGTCCTGGTGAGGAAGGTTTTAAAGGAAGAAGAGCGGGGCCATGCAGTAGAAAAGGCACTGGTCCATGAGTCTAATCACCTGTGGTCTAGTTTGGGCTTAGGTACTAGTCTAAAATGTATGTATTAGTAACAATGATAACCAGCATTTACATAGAGATTTAAAGTTTGCAAAGTGCTTTACCAAAATTTCATCCTCATAATAATCCTGGAAAGTAGGTGCCATTATTTTCTACATTTTAAAAATGAAGAAACTGAGACATACAGAGGTTAAGTAACTTACCCATACTCACACAACTAGGAAATGTCTGAGGCTGGAGCTAAATTCAGGTCTTTCTGATTCCATGTCTAGCACTCTATCCACTGCCCTACCCAGCTGCCTCTAGTGCCTTCCCCTCTGTACCTTGGTTTTCCTCAGTTCTCAAGTGAAGTCCTTAATGTCTCTGCTGACGCTGCAAAATAGACTTAGAAACTTATATAATTTTAAGCACATTTGGCCACTAGAAGGATGCTTTTGGTGCATAAATCCCAGAGTTCTAGACAAATTCAAATGGAAATGAGTATGTCCTGTTACCGCATTCAATTCCAAGATGTTAATGGGAGATAAATTATTGCATTTTGGGGCAGAATGTTGCCTGCTTAAAAACATACCAGTATCCTTCCAGTAAGTGGAGTAGGGTGTATGTGTGTGTGTGTGTGTGTGTGTGTGTGTGTGTGTGTGTGTGCATATACACACATGACTACATAAAGTATATCTGTAAATGAAACTGATTTTTAAAACAAAATATGTAGTACTTAAGCACCCACATAAGTGTTGTCTTCTTTAAAGCTGACACTGGATGAAGGCTATGCATTTATTCTAACCACTGATCCAAACAAGTGACCTTGAACAAGCTTTAATTCCTATTTGTGCATCAATCTCCTTATCTATACATGGAGAAGTTTGGACTAGACTATTGCCAAGGTCTTTTCCAGCTTTACCACGTTCTATAGAAATGAAGTAGGTATTCAATGATTGAGGATTAACTAAAGAAATTATAGTACATGAATGTATGAAATATTGCATATGCTTCTGATACAGACAATGTATTGATTGATTTTCCTGAAATATTTTTCCTTTCAAATTCTATTTCAAAGGATGGATCTTTGGGCAGAGGAAGGGACAAGACATATTTGGAAGTGAATCTGATGTAAAAAAACAAAAGGCATCAGTTTAATTTTTTTAAATATCATATGTTCTAAAGAACCTTATGGAGCTGACATTCTGTGTTCGAAAGTCCTTTCCAGACGAGTGTTGTTTTCTAAGTTCCCTTCTAGCTCTTACATTCTATGTTCTAAGTATCCTCCCAATTAGCTTTTTCTGCCCTAAGGCCTCTTCCAGCTCTGGCATCTTCTGTCCTAAAGATTCTCCAGCTCTGGTGGGGCCATCTCCAGTGCTCCTGATTTATATCTTCCCATTGAACTCAGATGGCTCCAGAGGAGAAAGCGAGGCTGGTGTATTTGTACAGCCCTCCCTCACTTCAATCCAATTCACTTGAAAGTCATGGCATCACCTTCCTGATGCTGTGGTCTTCTTCGAGAATGAAGGACAAACAAAAACAACCACTCCTAGCTCTGACATCTTATGACTTCAAAACGGATCAATAGTTGGAATTTCACTTTGGGAACTCCCTTCAGAGACTAGAGTACATTTTTAAAATATCATGGAAGCAAATCTTCACCTTTTAAAGGTATATTTGATACTTAGGAACAGCTAAGCATCATTTGGAGCCACGTCTGGTAAACATAGTAGGAGAATGAACTGGAAAATCTCGTTTGAGATCGAAAACAAAGTGTGACTATGAAGAAAAAAGATTTGTGTCCTTGGGAAGCTTGTGATATGGCACTAGAGGTACCTCTCTCCTGCTGAGCAAGATGTCCAGACTTTTTCTGAGCAATGATGATAGCTTCATGGAAATAAGTGTAGCTTCCTATGGAAACTATCTTGGAAGGCAACATACGTTATCTCTAATTTCAAAAATCTTTAAAAAAAAACCCTTTCATTTTTACATCAGATTCAGTTCCAAATATATCTGTCCCACCCTTCTACCCAAAGATCCACCAAAGGGTTTCATAACACAAAAAAGGGACAATGACCTCTGAGTTCAATGAGATGTAAACAGAGACATAACGAGGACAGGGTGACTGGGGCTTTCTCCCAAGAGGGGAAGTTTAGAAGTTCTCTAAAAATTCAGCTTATTGTCTTCTTCAGCATAGTGGTGTGGAAAAGAAAGTTTAGGTACTGGGTGATTTGGGGGGTAGTAGACCTCAGTTTATTTATCATATAACCCAACCTGATCCCACCCTATTTCTTCCAGGTTTCTTATTCTCCTGCTCCTTTCCAAGAAGAAAAACCTTTCTCCTTCAGCCCTAGTGAGTTTCCTAAGAGAGGGCAAGAAATAATTCCCATATTACCCTCTCTCTCACAGTGTTGAGACAGTCACTTCCAAGGCCACATGGTGGAGAAGAAAAATCATGGAACCCTCAAAATCAATAGATTGGACTATAGCAGTTCGTAGTCTTCATGATGTCCTGGATCCTGTGGGCCCTCTGGTGAAGCCCACAAAACACTCCTCAGAATCAGTCTTTTAACTAATCAAAGGAAATGCTGAATTTCAGCTGAAGGTTAGTAAAGTTAAAGATGTCTTTTTTCTCATCCAAATTCCTGAATCCTCTGAAATCTGAGCATTGAAGGAATCCAAATTTAAAACTCTTGGACTAGATAATCTGCAATCCCTTTTAATGGTAAGATTTAATACTTCGCCGATCTGGTAACAAGTTCTCCCTCCCATCCACCCGACTTGAATTTTTCTTAATTACTCCCAATATTGTTTTCACCCCCTTGAAACTCAAAGTTTATTTTAGAACAAGTTTTACACTGCTTAATCCCGTTGGTATCATTTACCCCTGGTGCCCTTGGTACCAACATTTTTAGTTATGGCTCTGAACCCACTTGACCTACAGAGCCATAAGCAGCTTGTGAAGGGGTGAATGGAGATTTGCCCTGGGTCTTAACACCTGAAGGGTGCGTTTCCTCCTGGAAGAGGGACAGAATATATACTTTCATCCTGAAGCAACCATTATTATCTATGCCTGGCCTTGAAGCTCATTCCATTCTGTGGCACAGCTGTGCCCCCTCCCTCATAGGTTCCATTACTGTGACACTCTTCTCCTAGGTCCCATTGCTATGACGGTCTTCTCCTGGGATTGATACCCATCCCTTACTTGGGAGGCAAGGGTCACACTCCACCACCCATTGGATTGTACTGAGTTAGAACTCTCCCTTCCACCCCACTCCCATTGTATTTGCCCAGGCTAAAAAAAAAAATCGCGTTATAGCTTTATTAGTCAATCAGTCAGTTGACTAACATCCATTAAATGCTTAGTGTATGTCAGGCACAATAATAAGCTCAGGAGATCTCCAAAAAAGGCAAAAATAGTCACTTCCCTCAAAGAGCTTACATTCTAATTAATAGGGAAAGACAACATACAAACAGCTATGTATAGGCAAGATAGACAGACAGACAGATATATATGTATGTATAAGCTATACATATTGTTGTTCAGTCATTTCAGTCATGTCTGACTCTTCATGACCCCATTTGTGTTTTGTTTTGTTTTGTTTTTGACAAAGATATAAGAGTGGTTTGCCATTTCCTTCTCCAGCTAATTCTATAGATGAGGAAATTGACACAGACAGGGTTAAGTGGCTTGCTCAGGGTCACACTGCTAGTGAGTGTCTGAAGCCAGATTTGAACACAGGTCTTCCTGTCTCCAGTCCTGGTGTTCTATGCACTGAGCCATCTAGCTGCCCTATTGCATACACATATATGTGTATATGTGTACATATGTGTATATGCATATGTATTATATGCATGTATATATACATATGTGTACACACATACAACTATACCTCTATTTGGCATTCATGTCCCTTTACAGTATAACTCTAACCTATATTTCCAGCTTTATTAAACATTGTTCTCCTTTGCACACTCTATGGTCCAGCAAAACTGGTTTTCCTTTCCATTACTCACACAGGACTCTTCATGTCTCATTGTTCTGAGTCTTTCTTGACTTTTCCCAAAGCTTGAAAAGTTTCCCTTCTTACCTTTGCCTATTAGAATCTTTCATTTCCTTCAAAAAATGAAGCTTACTAGCCACCATAACATTTTTCTGGATTTTCCCAGTTTCTAGAGCCTTCCCCTGCCCTGGCCCTATTACCTTGCATTTTATATAGATATGGATATATAGTTATAGATACAGATATATATTTATATGTCCTTGTATGTGTATATGTAGGATGTGGGAGGCAGCTAGATAGCTCTATTGATAGAGTACCAGGCCTGGAGTCAGGAAGACCTGACTCAAATCTGGCCTCAGATACTTATAAGCTGTATGACCTTAGGCAAGTCTCTTAATCTCTCTTTGCCTTAATTCACTGGAGAAGGAACCACTCCAGTATCCTATCCAGCCAAGAAAATTCCACAGACAATATGGTGCATGGTGTCATGAAGAGTTAGACATGACTGAACAACTCAACAAACCTAAGTTCTTAGAGAAGATCTCATTGGGTAGGCAGGGAGTCCTCAGCACCTAAGACAATGCCTGTCATATGTTAAGTCTTAATAAATGCTTACTGATTGATGGATTGATTCTTAGTGTTCTGATTTGTTTATTCAACAAATAGCTACAGCATAAATTAGGGCCCTTACAATATTAAATAATAACTTACAATTGACCTAGTATTCACTTGTAATAATTTATAACACTGTAATAATTTACAATAACCTTATGACATTAAAAATAGTAGAAAAAGCACTAGGTTTGGGATCAAAGGATCTAGGTGATGCTCTTGGCTGTTCCTTTCTGCCTGTGTGACTCAGGGTGGGTTGCTTCATTTTTCTGTGCCTCAGTTTCTTCATCTGTCAAATGGAAGGGGTGAGGGATCAGATTAAAATGAACTTTAATGGCTTTAAATGCACAATTGAATCTTCTTAAAAACTGAAATTACTTTTATAAACCAAAGAATAAACCCCATCATAGTGTGTCACTGCACACTTTCGATGTGGTAAGTCAAAATCAAGCAACAAAAATCTATTAGACACCTGCTCTATACAAGCCCTGTGCTGACCTGAGAATGAGGTATTTGGGGGAAATTACAAAGGATAATAAGGCTTTGTTGCCTTTTTTGAAGGAAATCTGTGATAAGTACACAAATACTTATATTATAAGACCTATTGAATCTGCCATAGATTATTGTGAATGAGAAACCTGCCTTAAGAGAAATACAGAAATCTGAGGGGAGGGAAAGAGTGAGGTAGGAAGGGGGAGCTTAATCTAGAAAATCTTCACATGGGAGGGGGCATTTTAGCTGAGCCTTAGAGGGAAAGAAATCTGCTTGATAGATTAGTGATCAGATCCCAGATGATTGATCCCACTAATGAAGGAGTCACATGGACCTGGCCTATAGGAACTGGGAGAATGGTAGGCCAAGAAGAGAGGAATAAAAATGAATTTCCTTAATAAGTTTCTCCATATACTAGATGGCTTCTCCCAGCCAAAACGTCAAAGCACCCTTCCAGCATCTCCAACACTTGGCTCTACCTCCTGGAAGAGCTCGGCTCAGTGTATGTCTGTGTGTCTGGAGCAGGAGGGGTGGAGTAAAGGATGTGGGACAATGTGGGATGATTCTTTAAACAGGCACATCCCATTAAATAGTGCTTTTTACCAGGGATCCTTAATACAAGTTGAAAAATCGGCCAATTTGAATGTGCTTGAACAGATGGAGGCTGTGGCCATGTGACTGAATAATACCTTACCAGTTCACTGCTGTCCTAGCTATTGGATCATTTGAAAGTTCAGTGAGCTGGGTCACCGAACATTCTGATGAACTGAGTAGAAATCAGCTATTAGTACATTAGTGTGGTCAAAACAGCCACTCCAAATTGACTCCTGCAGCCAGTTGGGTCCATAATCAAATGTTAAACTTTATATTATAGCAGAGCCTCTAACTGGGTTTTGGGGCATGGTGCAAGGGAGGAGTAGAGTGGAGGAGGGATTGGGGAAACTCATCGAGAGTATATGTGTATGAGAGGGGAGAGGAAGCATAGACCAAACTGCAAAGAGGTCTCTGTAATGCTTTAATTATTACCTCTACGCAGATAACTGCCAGCTTCGTATTTCCACAAACCTAGTCTCTCTTGAGAGCCAGGTCTGAATCACCAACTGCCCAGTGGACATTTTGATCTGAAGGACCTGTAGACATCTTCATGAGAATGCAAAGTCCTTGACAGGAGGGAATGAAAAGAAGAACAGCTATTATTATTCTAGCTAGCACCTATAGAGTACTTATTGTGTGCAAGGAACTGTGTGACTTCCTTTACAAAATGTTATCTCATGTGTTCCTCACAACAACCCTGAGAGTTAGGAACTATTATTATGCCCACTTTACAATTGAGGCAACCGAGGTAAACAAAATCTAAGTGACTTGCCCAAGGTCTCATGTTTATTATCTCCCCAGGGTTTAGCTTGGTGCCTAGTGTGCAGTCAATATTTAATAAATGCTTGCTGATTGATCTCAAACTCAACAGTTTCAAAACAAAACTCACTGTCTTATCCTGCCAAGTATACCTGTCTTCCGAAGTTTTCAATTTTTTCTTAGAGCATCCTTATCCTTTCAGTGACCAAGTTTCCCAGTGTCAGCATTATCCTCAACACTTCATTCTCCTTCACTCCACCTATCCATTCAGTTGCTGTCTTGTCCTTTCTACCTGTACCATGTCTCTCCCATCAATCCCTTCTCTCCACTCACATAGCCGCCATCTTAGTTCAGACCTTATCATTTTTTTATCTGAACTATTGTAATACCTTCCTAATGGTCTTCCTGTTTCAAATCTTTTCCAGATCCAATCCATTTGCCATTCAGCTGCCAAATGGGTTTCCCTAAAGCCTTAGTTAAAGAATCTGAGCCCCAGAAGGTTTGGTGACCCACATAATATCACTCAGGTAGGAAAGAGTTTTAAGTCAGTTTTTGAAACCACATCATATGACTCCATATGCATTGCTCTTTACAATATACTCTTCCTGGACTGCTGTCCCTGAAATTTGTCTAGGTTCTTGTTGCAGTGTGATATAGAGGAAAGATCACATTCCTGGGGGTCAGAAGACTTGATTACTTGCTTTGTGACTTTTGGCATGACCTCTCTGTCTCTGAGCCTCAGTTTCTTACTGTGTAAAATGAAGAGGTAAGACTGAATATTCTCTATTGTTTCTTCTAGTTCTGACTTTGTATGGTTCCATGCCTACTGCAAAACTTCCCAAATAATGAGTTTGTGTCTAGACCACTGGCCATTGCCTTTTTTCTGCCCACTGACTGGAATATCTGCTTTTTACCATACACCTAGCCCTCCCTTTCATGACCAAATTGGATTTCCTTTCCTAGAAAGGAGGTTACTGATGCCTATCACTGGGGCCTTCCTTTATTGTTTGCTCTGCTTCTATTGGTCTTTCTAGTTTCTAGGTTTCAGTGACCTTAAACCTTGGCCCAGACACTTGTCGGTCAAGTCCATTGATGGATTGATACAGAAAGTGTGCCCTAACACTATGCATGTGAGTACACCAAAGAGCTTCAGTTCCATGGGACAGTAAGTCCCTTCCCCTCTCTGGATCTGGGTTTATTCTTCTGTCAAATGAGGACATTATCCTATGTGGCATTGAAAGTCCATTTCAGCTCTAAAATTTCATTATTCTCTGATTTTTGGTCAGTCCACTGAATAGAAAGCAGACCATCTCAGCTTTCTAGTTTCCTTTCTGCAAGCTGAATGAGAGATCCATCATCCTGATCTTCAACTGTCTCCTCTTTTCCAACGTCCTTGCAAGGCATCTAATAACCTCACGTTGCTTCTCCTGTGGGGAAGCAGGATTCTAGACCTGTGCTTTTCTCTTCAGTTTCTGGAGCTCAACAGAACTGCAAAAGGCTCTAAGTAGACATTGCTGCCCTAAAGGACCATAGGAAAACTCTGATACCTAGGTCAGAATAACAGAAAGTACCTGCCCAGGGTTCTGTAGTCAGTCTTCTGGTCAATATGTCTTATATTTCAAGAATGTTTTGTTTTATTGCTCATTTGTCTTTCAACTCAGTACCAACTCACCTATTAGTCTTCCCAATCTAGTAGTAAGATTATAAATGAGGCACCCTGTTCTCGGCTCAGAAAGAACTTGGCAATGGCAACTATTAACACATCCATGGTTCAATTCTTCCTTTGTGGTTATTGTCACTGTTATTTGTCCTTCATTCTTGAAGAGGACTGATGATACCATGAGTAAAATAAAGAAATGCCTTGTCTAAGGAAGGCTGTTGAATTCATTCTTTTGCAGCTGCTTCCAGGGCCTCTCACCCTGATTCATAAGCCACATAACCCTAACCTTTAATCTTCATTTTCCTCAATCAAAAATTCCCTACCTTATGATCTTCTCCCTCAACACTCTTCTCTCTCATAAGGAATGGCAATGATAATTTATGCTAAGGTGTTAATGACTGACAGCAACTTAAATGGTATATGAAGAAATCCTGAATTTGGAATCAGAAAACCAAGGTTCCAATCCTGATTCTGTTACTTACCACCTTCAAGACCTTGGGCCTGTCACTTAACTCTACAGGTGTAAGTTTTTCATCTGTAAAGCTAAGGATGTGAACTAGCTTATCTTTAAGATTCCCTGCTACTCTAAACCTATGGCAATCACTGAAGTTTCCATTTAAACAATAACAACAACAATAATAATACATTTATACAACACTTTGAGGTTTGAAAGGTCTTTACATCATTTAACTCATTTAAGCAATGAGGGAAGGGGAAAGGAGAAGAATAAGCCTTCATATAGTGCCTGCTATGGACTAGGCACTGTGCTGAACAGCTCTTTATAATTTTTGTCTCATCTGATCCCAATGCTAAGAGGTAGGTGCAATTATTGTCCTATTTTCCAGTTGAGGAAACCAAGGCAAACAGACCTTAAGTGGCTCTCTCAGTGTCATTTAGCTAGTAAGTAGCTGAGTAAGGTCTTCCCCAGACTAGACCCTACCTCCAGGCTCAGCTCTCTATCCATTACACCACTAGCTGTCGCAATCACAGCCTTCAAAGTTAAAACCCAACAGAATCCCTAACACTGGAATTCCAAGTGTTAAACCTGTGAGGCAGGAATATTTTTGGTTGTGGGGAGGGGGCCTTTCCCAGCACGGCTCCAAATTCTTATACTAGGTAGGTGCTTGCAGATAAAGCTGGCCTTGTTTATAGTAAGCCACAACTTTAAGGGCGTTCAATGCACTGCTCTCAGATAACAAAAACTTTAGTCAATACCCTTGGAGAATTAATTAATTAACATCTGGCCTACCATGAACCAAGTATGGTAAGCAGCAACAGACTCAAAGCTAATGAATAAAGACCAATGAATAAATAGATTCTCACATATTATGGCTATAATATTAATCTATACAACAAATATATATTGTATATCACTTATGGACAAAAGTTCATTACTAGAAGTTTGGCTGTTTTTTGCCTATGTACCAAATTTAATGACTGACCGGGGCAGCTAGGTGGCACAGTGGGCAGGGTACCAGGCCTGGAGCCAGGAAGACTCAGCTTCCTGAGTTCAAATCTGGCCTCAGACACTTACTTGTTGTGTGACCCTGGGCAAGTCACTTAACCCTATTGGCCTCAGTTTCCTCATCTGTAAAGTGAGCTGAAGAAGGAAATGGCAAACCACTCCAGTATCTCTGCCAAGAAAATCCCAAACAGGGTCACAAAGAGTTGTATATGACTGAAACAAAACAACAACAACAAATGACTGACAGTTGGTTGACCTTATTTTTTTTTTTGTATCAATCAAAGAATGCTCATAGTTGTGGAATCACGGATCTATGGAAGTTTCACAGATCCCATTGTATTCCACAGAGAAGTGGAAAGGTAATTTGTTCTTTTTCAATCTCTATTTCTGCATCTGTGAAATGTGATTGATGGTGCTACAAAAATATAATTTACCTCACTAGGGCATTGCCAGGGAAGCAATTTACAGATCTTAAATTGCTATAAGAATATTAATGAATATGACTAATTAATTAATAAATATGGTTATAACTGGGTGAAAAACCATTGGAGGTCATCAAGTGAAGGCTAAAATATTGTAATGGAGATTCCTGGCCAAACATGTGTCAGACTTCTGGGGTCCCTTCTAGTTCTGAGAGCCTATGAAATAAATAACTCTTTCTCTTCACTTTTCAGCCTGGTAGGAAAAAAATGAAATAAAATAAAATAAAATATGTTATAAAACTGGAAAGTATAGAATCCCTAAGGAAATGAGTCTCCATAGTCAGCTTGAAATCCAGATTCCTGTCACCTTAATGTATGTGGCAATCCTTTCTACCGCTCCAATATAGTCTGTCTCAGGAATAAGGATATCCCAAGCTATTTTGGAGGCTTATAATAACATGAATGATTGTGCAAATGTTGGATTCTGGCTTGTAGGCTGCTCCCTGTATACACCACAGAGTTAGACTGGGATTTACTCCAAAGGAAAGGATTTTGAATATAGTTCCTTCAATTCAAGTCAATTGGCATGTATTAAGTGTTCACAATGTAAAAGACACTGTGGTACTCATGGGAAGACAAAAATGAATGGGAAAAAAAAAACAGTCCCTTCCCTTTCAGGACCTACATTCTTTTGAGTCAAGTCAACAAGCATTTATTAAGCACTTACTATGTGCCAACCAGAAAGAAAGACAATCCTTGCCCTCAGCAAGCTTACATTCTAATGGGAGAAGACACAAATATGAGAAGAGGAGTCATGATAGAGAAAGTCCAATGAAGATGATTCAGCATGGAGTCTGGAGAGGAAGGAAGATAAGGTTGACCTGGGCTTTCTCCTTAAATTGGACTTTCTGAAAGGAACTAACCAATAAGAGGAAGAGGCAATGGGAGTGGCGGGGAGGGGGTTGTGGGAAGCCACGGAGGTCAGTAGACAGAACAAAGGAGGGACAGTGTTCCAGGCATGGGGGACAGCCAGAGACAATGCCCAGAGCCAATGACTGTCTACTTCGTGGAACAGCCAGGAAGCTAGTATCACTTCATCACAGAGTATACATTGTAGAATAAAGTGTAAGAAGACTGGAAAGATAAGAGAGGACCCAGACTACAGAGGGCTCTGAATGTTAAACAGAGGGTTTTTTATTTAATGCTGGAGGTAGGATTAGATAAGATTAGATCTATGCTTTTCACCAGCTGTGTAGAGAG